TTTTTAAAGTGTTGTCTTTGTCTAGTCTTCCCCCTTCCCTTGTCTATTGTGAGCCACCCAGAGTCCTTCGGGAGTGGGCGGCATACAAGACAAATCAACAACAACAACAACAACAACAATAATAAGTCCAAGTAAATTATATTGACAGCATTCCCCCAGTCCACTAATTTTGTATTTAAAAAGGCTGCAACATCCTGGGCTCGCATGATCGCTCTTTGCAACTTTTGCAACTGGCTTCCAACAAACAAAGTCCGTGGGAGAATTTGGATTTGCTTAACTTCCACACAATTCACAACAACTGCAATAACTCTAGCAAGGAAGGTTATAGAATCAGGTGTGACTCAGCTCAACAGCAGCCTTCCTTAGCAACTGAAATCCTGATCCCCGTCGTCCCTAAGCTGAAGATTCCTTCTATAGTTTCAATGAGTGCATTAAAGAGGAGATTAAAAGAGGCCGAGAAAATGCAGAACCTTGTTTTAGAAGTAAACAAACAGGTCTAAATCAGGAACCCCCCAGCAGTGTAAATGTGATTAATCATTTAGGGAATGATTTAGTATGCATCTAAAATGAGAGAAATGCTTGAAGAAGTATTTTAGAGCTTTGTGGGAGAGTTACGGTGCTATCTCAGAGAATGAAATTAGGGGGGAAAAATGACACAAATATGAATAGCCAAGAAAAATGATGAGAAAGAAATCATAAATGCTTTAAGAATGTTGAAGTAAGATAATACCCCAGGCATAAATAGTGTAAGCGGAGAAATTAAAATATAGATGTGGTTGTCTTATAAAGTGCTTATAGGTGCCTGGTAGAAGACCTAGTGATATCCAAATCAGGTGGCATGAGTCATATTTTTGTGCATATCCTACAGATTAAGTACCTATATCATTATGCACCATGACACAGGTACATTATTATTCATGTCATTTGTTCAATGATGCATATACTCTCACTTTCCCTCCTCGTAGATGCCAATGGGAGAAGGATTGTTTAATACAACGTGTGTTGGTGTGTGAAGACTGCCTTGCTGCCTGACGATTAGAAGAAGTCCATTTAAACGAGGGGACAGGTAGCAAGCAAGAACAAGTGTTTAAAAACTACAGTGGGATTTGTTTTTAAGTGTGCTTGTGAAGACGTTGGCAAAATTTTGATCAAAAGGCTGTGAGAGAGGTGAGTAAAATCTGAGAAGTGCGTGTAGCTTCACACTGAGAAAGGTGTGATTATTTTTCCCCTTTGTAGAAAATGTTATAAACCTGAGAAAGTTTATAGTTGGTTGTCTTTGACTTAAAACCGTAATTGAGCTTGGAATGACGGTCGTAAGTTGTGCCAATGGTTAGAGCAGATTGCCATGCAATTGTTCCTGAGTTTACAACTGCTTTTATTGAGGTTTGTCTATGAAGATTCTCAGTCATCCAGATCACGGTTGTCCCAAAGATGCTTTTTTCAAGAGGCAACTGGACTTTCTGTTTTTTTCTTTGAAGATGTTTCGCTTCTCATCCAAGAAGCTTCTTCAGCTCCTTGGATTTTTGTGGCGTTTGTTAAGTGAATTAACTGCGGTTGCTAAGTGAATGTGGCAGTCCTTAAACAAATCCATTGTCTGCAATGGACTCCCCCCCCCCCCCGAAAACCGGAAATAAATGTGGTTTTTAGCAAAAATATGTCATGAGCCATGATGGCGCAGTGGTGAGAGCGCAGTACTGCAGGCTATTTCTGCTGCCTGCCGGCTGCCTCCAATTTGGCAGTTCAAATCTCACCAGGTTCAAGGTTGACTCAGACTTCCATCCATCCAAGGTGGGTAAAATGAGGACCCAGATTGTTGGGGGCAAGAGGCTGACTCTGTAAACTGCTTAGAAGGCTGCAAAGCACTGTGAAGCACTACATGTCAGTGTTTCTCAACCTCGGCACCTTAAAGATCAGTGGACTTCAACTCCCATAATTCTCCCACCAGCTAGCCTGGCAGGGGGATTCTGGGAGTTGAAGTTCACCCATCTTTAAGCTGCCAAGGTTGAGAAACACTGGTCTAACTGCTATTGCTATTAACTGCAGTCATGTGACTATGGGACACTGCAAACAGCTCTAAATGCAGACTGCTTGCCAAGTGCTCAAAATGCAATCACATGACTTTGGGGGCAGCCCTTGGAAGTTCGAATCTGGGTATTAAGTAGGTCTGGGCAGGTCGGTTGGGACTTTGAATGGTTGCTAAGCCAGGAATTATCCGTATTGAAAGTTTGTTTATTTCAAGTATGTTAAAGTGAATGGACTTGAATTGCAGATTTCTTTTTGCATAGATCTGGGGGTTGATTGGTGAATGCACTAAGAGTGATAAGGGATCAAAGCAAAGGTGCTTAAGAATCAGTGGTGGGTTTCAAAAAATTTTGGAACCTACTCTGTGGGTGTGGCCTCCTTTGTGGGAGTGGCTTGCCATCCATGTGACCTGGTGGGAGTGGCTTGCCGGCCATGTGTTTTCTTTCTCTCTCTCTCTCTCTCTCTCTCTCTCTCTCTCTCTCTCTCTCTTTCCTTTTGTCTCGCTGTCCCTTTTTTCTTTTTTCTTTCATCTCTCATTCTTTTTCTTTCTTTCTTTCTTTCTTTCTTTCTTTCTTTCTTTCTTTCTTCCTTTCTTCCTTTCTTTCTCTTTCTCTCTCTGTCAGTCAGTCTGTCAGTCTGTCTGTCTGTCTCTCTCTCTCTGTCTCTCTCTCTGTCTCTCTCTCTCTCTCTCTCTCTGGCAGTGGTGGTGGGTTTCAAAAATTTTTGGAACCTCTTCTATAGGTGTGGCCTGCTTTCTGGGTCCACTGGTGGAACCTCTTCTTCACATGTTCGGTAGATTTGATGAACCGGTTCTACTGAACAGGTGCGAACTGGTAGGAATCCACCTCTGTTAAGAATAAATAGAAAATATGGACTGAGAAATGTTAATGCATAAAAATTGCTGGCAGAAAAGTAGTGCATTCAATGTTGCCAGTTGTGAGAAATGGATGTTTGTCCAACGAAGTAAAAAATGGCTGCATACAGGTAGTCCTTGACTTAACAACAGTTCCTGTGACAGTTGCCGTTTAACAATAGCAGTGATTCACTTAACAACTGTGGCAAGAAAAGTCGTAAAATAGGGCAAAACTCACTTAACAAATTTCTCACTTAGAACTTAAATTTTGGGCTCAGTTGTGGTTGCGTTGAACACTGACTGTATAAGGGCGGACTTCTGCATACTGTATTTCTGGGAGTTGGTCTTAAAATTGCCAAGTTTGGAAAACATTTGAGTTAGATGGTTTCTGAAATCATAAGCCTGTGATTCTTTGAAGGTCTTGTTTTAAAAATCAATCAGCTTTCTGGGCCTTGTTTAACGACTGATCATTTAACAACTGCTCAACTTTATGACGGACTTCAAAAAAACTATTTATGACCCGTTCTCGAAGTTACAGCTGCCGCACACACATACCAGCATAGCTGGGGAATTCTGGGAGTTGAAGTCCATAGGACTTCAAGTTGCCAAGGTTGAGAAACACTGATCTAGGAGATGTACTACTTGCCAGCATACATAGTCCTCAGCCTACGACCAAACTTTCTGTTGTTAAGTGAAACATTTGTTCAGTGAGTTCCCCCCCTTTTTTTGACTTTACTTGCCACGGTTGTTAAATGAAACCGCTGCAATTGATAAGTTAGTAAACCTGGTTGTTAAATGAACCTTGGCTTCCAAAATTGACTTGGCTAGTGAGAAGGTCACAAAAGAGGATCGCTTGACCTTGGGACATTGCAACCGTCATAAATATGAACCCGTTGGCAAGCATCTGTATTTTCATCACATGACAATAGGGATGCACCAGCAGTCAAAAGTGTGAAAAATGATCGTGTCACTTTTTTCAGTGCTGGTGTAATTTTGAACGGTCACTTAAATGAACTGTTGTAAGTCGAGGTCTTACAAAAAGAGATTGTGGCTGCCTTCTATCCCTGATCCACCTGGACTAGCCACTGATGCTTGACTGTGAGATGGGAGGCATATGAATTTAATAAATAAATGGAATAAATCTCTGTCAAGGGACGGGAAAGGGTTCTTTATCACATCAGAGATCTTTCTGTCTGTTCTGCAAAAGGATCAGGGCATCTTCTGCATATCAAGCAGCTGCTTGGCGTCTCAATTAACGCCAACTCAAAAAAAAAAAAAGGTCTTCAAATGGATGACATCTCTCTTGATTGCTGCTTCCTCTTTCCAATTTCTCAAATATCCCTTTTCTTCAATCTGTACTCCCCCGCCCCTTCCTTCACACTAACTTCTTTGGTAAGGCCACACTGTCAGGTTTCCAAGTAATACGTCCATAGCAAACAGAACTCAGGGGCAGGTAGGTTCCTCAAAGAATAGTTTTATTGGATATATCATATTGGCACAGGCTGGTAAAAAACCGACTCTGAATGTTACTGCAGTTTTCACCTAATTAAAAGTCAAAAGTTTTTCCCCTTTCCCAAACAATCAATCACATGGTCCAATCCAGGTACCGTCTGGTTAACTGGTAACATGACTCCTCCTCTCTCTGACCATCTGTAGAAATGTCCTTGGTTCCCAGGAGAAAGTATTTTGTTTTGGCTACAAAACCCCAGCTATCTCAATTCCCCACCCCCGCTCATCCTTCAGCTCCAGTGTGGCAACACAGAAGCCTTACAATGGCCTTGGCTAAGTCAGCTTCAAGGTTGACACATACTTGGAATGCTATGTCCAGTTTTGGTCACCACAATGCAAAAAGAAACTTATGAGACCCTAGAAAAAGTACAGAGAAGAGCAACAAAGATGATTAGGGCAGTGGTGGGTTCCAGATCCTGTTGCAACCAGTATGCTGCGATGGAGCCGGGTGTCCACCTCGGGTACGTGCGCTGCATACGCATGCGCACGGCACTGCCCTGCGATGCCTCAGCTGCTTGATGGAGGTCGCGTAGGTGCCGTATGCTGTGTGTACATGCGCAATTGGCCTGTTTCCCGCAAAAAGAGGTAAGGAACGCAGGCGAGCGGGTGGGCCCAACAAAACACCGTTCCGGTACGGTGGCCGCTGCTCCCAGCGGCCACCGGTACGCCCATACCGGGCCGTACCATCCAGAACCCACCACCAGAAATAGCACACAAAACCATCCCACCTGGAATGTGCGGCCTTGCGGGAGCGCCAAAACCCGGAACAGCAGCGTTCCGTCGAGCGTGCTGGCATCCAAACTTCTGGGTTTCCTGTGTGCACATGCGCAACATCCAACTGTTCATTGGGCACGCGCACGTGCCAGAAACAGGAAATTTGGGTGCCGGCACGTTCATGCGCGACAGAACGCTGCTCTTCCGGGTTTCAGCGATCCCGTGTGTGCGAAGGCCAGCTGGCCGGCGTGCATGCAGGCACAGGAATGTGGATGAGGAGCCAGCAAGGCTGCGCATCCTGCGCGGGATGGCCCTGGGCGCCGCTTCTGGCACGCGTTCCATAGGTTCGCCGACACGGGACTAGAAGACTTCCAGGTTCCCTTCCAACCCTGTTATTCTATTACTTATTCTGTTATTCTTTCTGCGTCTCAAACTTGTGGAACTCTTGCCGAAGCCAAACCCCAAAAGCTTTCTTGCTGTTGTGCCCTCCCTCAAACATGCTAGCTTTCCAGTTTGGCTTTTCCATGGAGTCTTTCCTCCCCCCCTTTCATTTCCCACATCCCACCCCCGCATTTTCTACTCCTCTTGTCCTCCTGTGGAATCGGCCCCCCCCCTCAAGCCGCCCTTCCTTTTATTGATTGCCAAGCCCTGATTTTTGAGCTAAATTCATTTGCATTCTTGACTCTCATTGTTTTTGACACAGGACTGGTGATTTGTGAATAAAAGCTTCATTTCTCCGGGGCCCCCTCCCTTGTAGTCCCTCCTCAGAATTGTCTCTTTGAACAAAGAAAGCACTGATACCCAGCAGGGTTGTTTTATTTCACTGTTTAAAAGCATTTTCCGCTTCGCTTGCTGGAGCTTTTGTCACAAGGAAAGCCAAGGGAGGGATTCTCGCTTGAGCCCCAAGTGGCGGTTGAATCAATGTTGAACATACATACTTTTTCTATTTCCTATTCACATCTTGGAGTTGATGTGAATAGGATGAGTGTTGATGTTGATTGATGTTTGATGAGTGTTGTTTATTACCGGTACATTTTTACCCTATTCCACATGCCTAGATAAAGGTAAA